GTAAAGTTACACTCCGTTTGTTTCGTAATGATACTTTCAGTAAAAGCATTGGTTAAAATGTGTAATAAATACATATATTTATTTCTATTATTTTCAGTTATAAATTTATTTTTACGAAGTTAATTTTGCAATGTTAATTCAGTATGTGAGCTTGGGTTTGTTTGTTTTTAAGCACAAAGCTAAACAATGGGCTATCTATGCTGTGCCTAACACGGGTATTGAAATGAAACCCGATTTTTAGCGTTGTAAACCTTCAGGCTCATAGCTGTGTCACTGGGAGGGGGTAATGCTAGTACACAGTTGATGAATAAATGCACTTAAATGGTTGTCGAATCTGTATTTTATAACACTGTGAACTCTTCGTTAAACCAGTATATTAAATTAGCTACATCATTTACTTCAAAAAGTTTTTAGTTCCGATCTATGCCGCTAGATAGCTTTGATCAGGAGTTATTGATTGGGTACTAAATAACAAATTCTACCCATAAAAAATTCTATCGATCTTCACCTTTTCCCCATCCCAACCCATAATTAGTATAAACAAACCATTAGAAACAAATAACCACAATCTAACGGAGGTGTTATTTGATGGAAGTACTGACTATAAAAGAGAGAGTAAGAGAGAGAACCATGATACTGACCCGTTTCTCACCTTAACCTACCTATACAAAATAAGAAAGTCCGATACACTGAGTTGATATTAAAATGTACACGCTTTTGTCTTATAGAGTCTCTAAATGACAAGCTATGCCCAACGAAAGAAGTTAAGACCTTTCACAAAAGATACTATCCTACCAAATGGCGTAAATCAGACATTTTGACCTAAGCCTCCTTCAAGCAGACCCAGAAAGAAAAAAGAAAATAAGGGAGATTAGTGAACTTACAGGCAATGCATGTTAAAATACTGATAAGCAACTGTTAGTATTATCACAACGTTCTAATACACAGACAGACACTCATTTTACAGGGCTCCTCCTCTATCTGATCACACACATACATTACACGGGCATTGCGCAACAAGTTTGTTACTGAATCTAAGTTTCAAATGGACAGCAACTGCCTGTTGTAGAAACCTACAAGTGTAGAGGACGACGTTTCGACGTGTCCTCCACATCTGTAGGTTTCTAGAACAGGCAGTTGCTGTCCATTTGAAACTTAGATTCATTATGAATACTCTGCCTCAACAACCAATCAAAGTTTGCTACTACCAATACTTTTTGGAACGTATGCCACAAACAACCAAT